GATAATTATGCCTTATTAAGCACCTGCTCAATGAAGTTGGAAAATCAGACTATAGAGGAATTAAATCCCGACCTTTGACTTCTTCTGTGAGATGCCAGAATGATTATTTCTACTGGATCTTGGGTTGACATTAGGGAGCAATTGGCTAATCCTCATATTCTCAAAGCGGCTCTCTGGTCTCTTGCTAATGTCCTTCTTGTTCTATGTCTTAGATTTATGTTGATTTATTTACCATGTGCAGTAATAGTATCTCCTTTTAACTTAAAAGGAACAACATCTATCTGATTTTGAGCACTAATTCTCAAGGGGACTCAGGAAAATAAAGTTTGAAAACTTAGAAATAAGTTTTTATCTTTGCTTCTTGTTTTCATTTCTAACACAGAATTTGAACAAGTGATTAAGTAGTGATACACGAAAGGAACAGTGCCTGTGTCTAATTACTTGGCACTTCACACTTGAGAGACATATTAAAATAACACCACACCTAGAGCAAACAACGGTGGATTTGAGCAGCTTTTCCCAGGAGTAACATTCTAAAATACTGGTGCTGAAATTTAATCACTGGACCGCTAGTATTTTGAAAACATAGTTGGAGTTGTCATTGCCTTTATGTTATAAATACTATGAAGCCTAGAATTGTGAATAAAGTTAGCCCAGATTACATTCAGGGGAAATGTGCACCAAAATATTTTGTTAAATGAGATAGGAGAAAGAAAGAACCTCGGGGAAATGAACTCAAACAGAAAACGTAAGCAGAGTGAACTCATAGCAATGAAACATGCACCATGTGTGAAGCAATTTTCTGTGAATGTAGTAAATGGCATAAATGAACATTGTCAAGAGCAGCCCATGAGAAGGAGGTAAGCCAGAGAGTGGAATGGAAAGGAGAGAGTGGCTCTGAATTCTTGATTTTCTATATAAAGTTTGTTAAAAATATGCAAACATAACGTATATCTCAGAAAAACCCAAGTCAGGCACAGTAGGATTTCACACGCATCTATGAAAATCTAAGTGGAAGACACCCAGCCTTCCTACAGCCAGGCAGCTTGCTGTGCACTCACTCGTGCCCTCACCCTACCCCCGGCCTCAGTCACCCACAGCCCTGGACAGGATCTGCTTTACTAACACAGAGTCAGAGACGTCACGTTGAGTCACCGCGATAGTCCCTGTAAGGCTGTGCATGGAAGAAGCCAAATAAAGGCTCCAGGCTTGATACTCACCAACTTACTTAGCAGGAGGAGAAAGGGGTGAGGGAGAGATTCAGAAGGCTTTACTGCAGAAAGCAGGGCCCCAAATCAAGGACTAGGATGGGAGATCACATAGAAAACAAAACTTCTAGAGGAGAACGAGAGGCAGGTCAGCTAAGGAGGAGGCTTAGCAGTCATTACTGGCTTTGTGTTTTGTTTTTATAGAGATTTTTCTTTGTTTTGTTTTCTCCCCTCACTCTCCACAGAGACTTGAACCTGAAACTCACGAGGGGCAACTTTAATTCCATTCAGATATTATGAGAAAAGTTGAAGAAAATAATTTAAAGTCAAAGTTGAAAATGGAATTGGTAAGATTAAAGCAGAAAAGAAGAGTTAGACTTCGAAACATTGCACCTCATCCAAGGAGCTACAAAGAGAGGGAAGATCCACAGAGCTGCTGAAAGAAGTTTAATCCCGGCTGAGTTCTCACATTGACCAGGCTGAGCTGCAGGAATCTATTTGTATTTCTGGTGCCTTTATTTTGCTTTAAATGTTGTCTTCTCTGCACATGTTTTCGGCACACACTGATTACATTTCCTGGGGAGGCGGAAAGCATACATCACACACATTTATTCCGCTTTCTTCCCTGTTCATTCATCGCCTCCTGCTTCCTCCGTTGCCAAGTCGTCCTTCCCTTTGCAAAAGAGCACCTGGTTTCCCAGGGTCTATCTTACACCTTGCCCTTAATTACCTATGCCTCAGCTTTCTCACACAGAAACCGTGTGATGGTGAAGCTTGTGTGTCTGACTTACTTCATTTACCATTACACTTCAAGGTGCATTCCATCCAGTAAGATGGAATCTCAGTGTTGTTTCAATTTGCATTTAATTAATGGTCGGGGTGTTGAACATGTTCTCATATATTTATCGGCCACAAGTACTCTTTCAGAGAAGTGTCTATCCATTTCCCTTGCCCATTCCTTGACTGAGTCTTTTTGGGAGGTCTAATATGTTTTAGTTCTTTATATCTTCTAGACATTAGTCTTCTGTCCAAGGTGCAGCTGGCACAATTTCTTTTCTTTTTCCGTAGGTGGTCTCTTCACCCTACTGTTTGTTTCCTTGCCCTCAAAAGCTTTTTAACTTGACATGATCCCATTTGTTGATTCTCGAGGTTATTTCTTGTGCCACTGAGTTTCTGTTCAGAAAAGCCCACCTGTCCTGTATCTTCACGAGTTTTGCCTATTCCAGAACATTAAGGTTTCTGTTTTAATATGTAAGTCTTTTTAATTTTAATTTGACCCATGGTGAGAGTTATGGGACACTTCTGCATGTGTGGACCCACATGGACCGTTTTTCAAGCATCATTTATTAAAGAGGATGCTTTTTTTCCAGCATATATTTTTTGGCCCCTTTGTCAAAATGACATAGCTCCATCCTCTGTCCTGTTCCATTGACCCTCATGTCAGTTTCTGTGGCAGTACCATGCTATTTTTCTTTTTATCACAGTAGCTTTGTCATATAGTCTGAAACCCCTGCTTGTGAGACCTCCTGACCTGTTCTTACCACCAGGATTGCTTTTTCTATTGTAGGTCTCTTCTTCCTCATAGATTTTAGGATTTTTTAACTAGTTCTGTGAGGAAGGCTGTTGGTATTTTATTGGGGATTGGATTAAACCAATATATCAGATTTGGAAGTATGGCCATTTCAGCTATATTGGCTCCACCTCTTCTGGAACAGGGGTATTCTTCCATTTTCTGAGGTCCCCTTTGATCTCATTTTGTGAAGTACTAGAATTTTCATTAAAGAATTCTTTCACTATCTTGTGTTAGGTTACTTCCTAAGTTTTTAATTTTTTGAACCTCTTGTTAATAGTATTGTTTTCCTACTTTTTTTTTCTTGGTAGGTTCATTGTTAGTGTGTAGGAAGATGACTGATTTTGTATCCTGCTACACTGCTGAATTTGCTTATGAGTTCTAGGAGCCTTGTGATGGAATTATCTGGAGTGGAATTATTTTAGAAGTGATAATGTGAATAAAGATAGTTTGGCCTATTCTTTCCCATGTGTATCCCATTTATTTCTTTCTCTTGCTTGATTATGCTAACTAAAATTTCAAGTGCTATATTTAACAGAAGTGATGATAGTGGACATCTTTGTCATTTCCTGATTTCTGAGGAACAGTTTTCAGTTTCTTCCCATTTATTGTGATGTTGGCAGGACGTTTGTCATAAATGGCCTTTGTCACATTGAAGTAAGATCCTTCTAAACAGGCACACAGAGATTTTTCTTCAGAGATTTTACCATACGTGGATAAATGTCAAAGGTTTTTTCTGTGTTGAGACAGTCATGCTATTTTTACCCTTCCTTCTGTTTATATGATGCATTATGTATATTGATTTGTGCCTGTTGAACTGTCCTTACATCCCAGATGAAGCCTATTTGGTCATAATGTTTGATCTTTATAATGATTTGTTGCATTCCTTTTGCCAGTATCTTGCTGGATATTTTTACATATGTGTTCATTAAAGAGATTAGCCTGTAGGTTTTTTAGTTGAGTCCTTGTGTGCTTTTGTAATTCTTCCAGGAAGGAGTTAGGTAGTACTTTCAGTTTCATTAGTGTAAGGATTACTGATGTTAGATCTTTCCTGGAGTTCTTGTAGAAATCAGCATTTATTGGTTACTGGGCTTTTCTTAGTTGGCAGTTTTTTTTATTATTATTATTATTCTAGCCTCAATTTCACTGCCCGTTATGGAGCTGTTCAACATTTTTATATCCTCTCACTCCAGGTTTTGTAATTCAAGAAAATTTAGGGATCTATCTATATCTTCCAGGTTCTCCAATTTACTGGAGTATAGGTGTTCAAAATAACTACCTATAATCTTCTGGATTTCAGTAATGTCTGCTATGATGTCACTTTTAAATTTCCAATTCCTTGATATCTTCTGTGACTCACTGATTATTCACAAATGCATTATTTAATCTCCATGTAGTTGCATAATGTTTGGTTTCTTTTGTATTGACTTCCAGCTTTATGCGCTTTCCATTTTCATCTTCATTGTATTATTTGGATCCCTGTGGCTCACAGATACTCAGTTCTGTGTGGTGGTAAGATGTATCCTCTCCTTTGGTGAAGGGCGGGACATTCTGTAGATATCTATTAAGTCCACTTGTTTGATGGTGCAGTTCAACCCTCATATCGCTTTGCTGACCATTTCTGTCTGCTTGATCTGTCCCTTTACCTCTTTTGATGAGATGTGTCATGATGTCTACTTTGTCTGAAAATATGATTGGTATTTCTGCTTACATTTAATCTCCTTCTTGTGGAATACTGGTTTTTATCCTTTGCTTTTTAGTCTTTGAATTTATTTTTGGACTAAATGCATTTTTATATGCAGAATAACTTTGGATCTTTTTTCAAATTTAATCTGCTAATCTATATCTTTTGATTGGGGAGTTGAGATCATTCACATGGAGAGTTACTATTGAAAGGTACTGACTTACTCCTGTAGTTGCATTATTTTTCTGTTGCTGATTTCTCTCATTTCCCTTTTGCTTATCTGCCCACTGTATCAAATGTCTTCATTCCACTACACCTCTTGGGTCATTGACTTCTCTGTCTCTATCTGCAGTATCCTTAAGAATTGTTCTTGTTTGTTTGTCATGAATCTCTTACGATGCTCTTTGTCTTGGAAAGATTTTATTTCTCCATCAATTTTGAAAAACAGTTTTCAGGATGTATTATTGTGGGTTTGAAATTGTTTTCTTTTAAGGCCTGAAACACTTATCTCCAAGTGCTGTTAGTATCTAAGGCTTATTAAAATATAGAACACTTCACAAATCTGCATGTCATCCTCGTGCAAGTACCATCATATTCTCTGTATTGTTTCAGCTGTGGCACATGCACTGCTGAAATAAGCATTGAATTGTATGAGTCTTGCTAAAGATTCTCAATACTTACATAAAATTTGCCTGAACTGCATTTGTAATACACACACCCACATCCTTACAGTTTAGTATTAAATGTGTGCCTTACCTACCATACTTATGACAACTGAATCAGTCACATAACACATTCACCCTGTGACAAAAATGGTGCTTCCTGGCAAGCCCTAACCTAATCTCTCAGGACATGACATAAACTTTATTCCTCTTTCATTACAGCATATTCAAATCTTTCTAACCTCTGGAAAGATGAGTGCTTTCACAGGTTGAAATTCTTCCCTTACTTTGGGTGGATGGAGCACCATTTGACAAAAACTAAGGCTTAAAGATGCAGACAAAATTCAACACCCATTCATGATAAAAACCCTGCAAAAAATTGGAATAGATGGTCTCTATCTCAACTTCATAAAGGCTATCTATGAAAAACCAACAGCTAACATCATATTAAATGGTCAAAAACTGAAAAGTTTCATGTTAAAATCAGGAACAAGACAAGGATGCCCACTGTCACCACTCCTCTTCGATATAGTTCTGGAAACATTAGCCATAGCAGTTAGACAAGAGAAAGAAATTAAAGAAATAAAGATAGGAAAGGAAGAAGTTAAACTGTCATTATTTGCTGACGATATGATAATCTACATTGAAGACCCAAAAAACTTTACCAAAAGACTTCTAGACTTAATTGACAGATTCAGTGGAGTAGCTGGATACAAGGTGAACACCCAAAAATCAATAGCCTTCTTGTACACAAATAACAGATTCACTGAGAGAGAGAGATTAGGGAAATAATTCCCTTTACAATAGCATCCAAAAAAATGAAGTATCTAGGAATCAATCCAACAAAAGAAGCAAAAGACCTCTATACTGAAAGCTACAGCACTCTTAAAAAAGAGATCGAAGAGGATATTAAAAAATGGAAAGATATCCCCTGATCCTAGGTAGGAAGAATCAAAATAGAGAAAATGGCCACACTACCAAAACTACTATACATATTCAATGCAATGCCAATTGAAATTCCAACACTATATTTCACAGAACTAGAAAAAAGAATCCAAAAATTCATTTGGAACCATAAGAGTCCTAGATTAGCAAAAGCCATCCTAGGCAACAGACACATGGCAGCGGGTATAACAACTCCCAATTTGAAACTAGACTACAAAGCCACTGTGATAAAAAACAGCATGCTACTGGCAAAGGAACAGACCTGAGGATCAGTGGAACAAATTGGAAGACACAAAAACAATTCCAGATGTACTCAGCTACCTCATTTTTGACAAAGGAGCTGACCATCCTCAGTGGAGGAAAGATAGCCTCTTCAGTAAATGGTGTTGGAAAAACTGGATTTCAATCTGCCAAGATTATTAAAATTGGACCCTTATCTTTCACCATCCACTAAATTAAAATCCAAGTGGATTAAAGATCTAAATATTAAAACAGAAACACTAAACCTACTGGAAGATAAGTTAGGCAGAACTCTGGAAGACATTGGCATAGGAAAAGCTTTTATGAACAAATCCTCAGTAGCATGGAAATCCTCAGTAGCATGGAAACTAGCAGAAAGAAACAACTGGGATCTCATCTTATTAAAAAGCTTCTGAACTGCAAAAGAAACCATCAACAGGAGTAAGAGACAAACTACAATGTGGAAATAATTTTTACCAGCTGCTTCTCAGGCAAAGGACTATTATCTAGAATATATAAAGAACTCAAAACAATCAACCCCCCCAAATATAAAGACCCAATTCAAAAATGGACGTCTGAAATGAACAGACACTTCTCAGACAAAGAAATAAAAGCAGCAAGTAAATATACGAAAAAATGTTCCACACCACTGGTCATTCGAGAGATGCAGATGAAAACAACACTGAGATTCTACCTCACTCCACAAAGAATGGCTGCTATCAAAAAATCAAATAATAACAAATGTTGGCGGGGTTGTGGAGACAAAGGAACCCTTCTCCATTGTTGGAGGGAGTGCAGACCGGTGGAACCACTATGGAAATCAATATGGAGATACCTCAAAGGGCTGAGACTAGAGGTTGCATTTGACCCAGCCATCGCTCTGCTGGGTATCTTTCCCAAAGAACTAAAAGAATTATATCACAGTGATGTATGCACACCCATGTTTATATAAGCACAGTTTTTAATAGGTAAAACTTGGAAACAGCCCATTTGTCCATCAGTGGGAAACTGGATAAAGAAGATGTGGTTTTTCTATAAAATGAAATATTAGCCATAAAGAATGATAAATTAGATTCATTCATAGGAAAATGTATACATATTGAAGATATACTCCTAAGTTAAGTAAGTAAGTCACACATGTGTAAATACCAAATAGTTTCTCTGTTGTGAATAAACTGTAATAGTACATAAGATCCTAATGAGATAACTGATGTTGCGAAATGGGAAGAAAAGGTCTAAAGGTGTAGAGAAGGTGGGATGGTAGAGGAATGGATAATAAGGGAAAAGAAAAAATGTGAGAAAATGAAAAGATGGAAATAAAGTGGTTGTAAATGGGTAGGGGAGGAGGGGTGAAGGGAGGGCAGGAACAAAGGGAAAAAGTGAGAACCAAGACCTGTCATGTAGAGGTACAAGACCCTAACAATGAATGTAACTGTACTGTTTCCCTAAAAATGTACCAATAAACTCAATTTTTAAAAAAGGAGGTGTGTAAGCTGGACTCAACCCCTACCCACACACTCATTGGGAACTCTTATGACTACAATTGTATTGTCTTTATATACACTCCATTTATGCAATCTTTCATCTAGAAGTCACTAGTGAGTTTATGTTTGTAAAGTTATTCTTTTGCTTCTTGTCCTTAGAAATTTTGTTCAAATATTCCTTTAACCTAATTGTTTGATCAAGTTTCATCTGTTCTTTAATCTGCCTGAAGAAAAAAAAGAAAATAGAAACATAAACTTTTCTCTCCTGTTACCCTTTGTGTGGTTTTGTTTTCTGACACACTTAATTATACTGATGACTCAAGATGGTATCAGTGCTCCCCAGCCTTGACTTCCAGAAACACACCTGTTGTCAGCAGACACATGGGACCCTCAGAAAGGAAATTTGGAGAAGGAATATAATACTACAGTATTTGGGGTTGGACTCCATTATTCCAAGGAGGGACTAAAGAATTGGGGGTTTATTTTGAATTAAATGCCTCTGGGGAGAAGTAACAATTCTATGACTGGGTAGTTGGTTATTTTTGTCTAGAAGGTAAAAGAATTAAAGACCAATGAGAGTTGTTACTAATAAAAAATAAATAGTCTTTTCTTAGTGAGGAGAAGAAGGACAGTTATTTTTGTAGTGCAGAGTAACCTTAGCTCTTTCTTATCTCAGGCATAGTTACAGGATGGCCTTTCTGTCTTCTTCACTGCTCTACCCAGGGGTTTGGTTCTGGTTTTTGTTTATGGTCTTCAAATATTGTTTATATCCACTGAAAGTATTCAACCACCAGAGCTCAATTGCCAAATCTCCCATCTTTTTGAATGCAGAATCTTTTTGTTTATTTGTTTGTATTGGGATGTTTTTATTTATTTCTTCATATTTCTTCCTAGGAGGATGTTTTCCTATTGGGAATATTTGGAATCAAGAATCAAGTGGAAAATGTGATGGATGTGTAAGATGCTGGTGTGGGTTTCTGCATTAGTTTTCTCATTGCTGAGATGCAATACCAACACACAACTTAGGAAGAGAGGTTCATTTGACCCAATATTTCAGAGGATTCAGTCCGTGCTCAGCTGGCTGTAGAGCAGGAACATCACCCTGGAAGGGTGTGGAGCAGGAGAGTTGCTTTGATTGTGGCCTCCAGGAAGCAGAAGAGGGAACAGCGCCAGAGAGGGAGGGGACAGGACCATATAGAGCACCCACGATAGAGTCTCCATGACACACCTAGACACACCAAGAAGTGTGCTCACCAGCCCCCAGGTGGTCCCAGAGCAAACCTATTCGACACTCCACTTAACTGTAAGTCCCTTCCCGAACCTTCTAGTTCTACAATAAGAGAGAAGAACGACAGAGCTGCTATAAACTTACACTGAAATATCAGAGATCTGAACTGGAGAATAAAAACTGTGTCAGAGTCAAAGAAGCCAGAGTCAAAAGCTTTGCTCGTGTAAGGCTGTCGGGTGACCTGCACTAGGGAGTCTTGTCTGTGTCTGGACTTCAGCTTAGCCACATGATTACAGGGTTGCCTAGGTGCCTTCTTTGTGGGTCACTGAAATAAGCTTGCTTCAGCTTGCCCTTGTTGCCATCTTGTATAAGTGACAAATGGGCTTTTATCAGAATTACTTCATACTGTAATGACTCAGGGACAACAGCAAGTGGTTTTGCATTCTTCCCCTTAAGCTCATGCCATGGGGTCTAGAAATAAAATCTCTAAAATGTTTGGGGAAGATAATTTTTTTTTTTTAGATTTTGGTACTGATGTAGCTTTTTCTTCTTGCTTTATTCTCTTGGTAATACCCCCTGGAACTGATGGGGAACTGAAAGGGGAAGTAGTTTGGAAAGTAACCATTTTATTTTCTTATCTAGAGAAATGTATGTGATTTCTAAAGACTATAAGAAGCAAAGGTAAATTTTCCCCGATGAGAATTTAAAAGATTTACAGGCCAATAATTACAGTTTCTTCAAACTTTCATCAACCTGAAATTTTCAGCATGTAACAGATCGTATGCTTCATTGCTTCCAGATGAGAGGAAGATGAACTTTAACAAATAGATGTGAAAGTGGCTTTGGTATCCTTTAGCAGGGAAGCCTGCAGGCCCCTCAGTCGCCGACCTATGGAAATGATGGCGCATCTGGAAGCCTGCTGGCTTGTGCTTCACGAAAGGGTTTGGGCTTGAACCTGAAAGTCTCCCCAAAGCTTCCATACCGAAGGATCAATTGCCAAGGAAGCGATATTCAGAGCTGGGGCCCAGAGAGATGACGGGATCCCGAGGACACTGACATCAGGGATGGGCTACTCATCCAG